TCTTAAGCGGGTGGTATGTTCTATTCATTCCATGCATTTCTTTTAAAGAAACTTTAATATATAGAGTGTATTCGTTTTTTTCTAAAAGGATAATATACTAACTTTGTGACCAAAATATTTATTGCGGTATGCTCTATTTGTCGAAAAAATGACCCTTGTGTCTAATTTGAAAGGTGCCCATTTTGGACAGTGTTCAGTCTTAAATAAAACCGTTTATTTTCTCACTCATATACCTCAAGAATATACTTTGAATGGCATATATTTTGTGTAGATGGACCCATGCAAGCCAAGTCATCATTATTTTGTTTCTTGATAACTGATGTTTGTTTTGTTGTTTTAAATTCTAAATCTAAAGTATACATGATTATTTATTTCATGAATAATTGTCTAACACATGAATATTTAATTCCTTAAATACTTAACAACCCCCAGAAACACATTAAAATTATTGTAAGACAAGCGGTAAAGTAGTCTGAGTTTAAGAAAGCATTCAGACTAATATATCTTTTCGACAAAATTTAATTTAATTTAATTTAATTTAATTTAATTTAATTTAATTTAATTTAATTTAATTTAATTTAATTTCTGCTTGGTTTAGATTTGTGTACATTGTGAATTGCTACTTAGCTAATTTCATTTCTAAGCGAAATGATTTGCCTATTCATGTGTGCCCGGCAAAACGAAGAAGATATTCAAACCCAAGTCACCGTCTCCCTGTTATTTCAGTATATTTATATTCATATTCTGCATAAATAAATATTGCACAAATTTCTTTGACGGAAAGTGATCAACATTTTTTCATAAGCTTATCAAATTCAAGATATAAATGCAATTTATTTTTTAAAAAATTAGGAAATAGTTTGTACTATTGAATTGAATAGTATGCAGATTTCTATTGGAGGCTGATATTACAATGATATTCATAGTGAGGCTGATATTACAATGACATTCATAGTGAGGCTGATATTACAATGATATCCATAGTGAGGCTGATATTACAATGATATCATAGTGAGGCTGATATTACAATGACATCCATAGTGAGGGTGATATTGCAATGATATCCATAGTGAGGCTGATATTACAATGATATCATAGTGAGGCTGATATTACAATGATATCCATAGTGAGAAAAATAAAATGACCATCAAGTGGATAAAAATGATGTTATGCCAGGAACCTGAGATTCAACAGTGAATTACTTATTCGAAATAAAGATTCGATGGCCGAAATCGTATTCAATGAATTTCATTAACTCAGATAAAAGTAAATTTGAATAGAGGTTTGCAAGTATTTAAGTAAAAGCACAATAGTGCATGAAGATGGTTTCATTTTCCTGTTTTCTGTTTGTTGTGTGATTGTTTAATTTTAGTGAATAATTTATATATTAGTAACAACAGACAAAGTACTTACAGCATGTTATGCATATCCGAATCAAACGTTAGTGTGAATATAAGAATAGATATTAACTGTGATCACATTGTCAAGATGATGGGAAATAAAAATAAGTTATTTTTTCTTTTTGATCTTGAGATCGTTCTTTTACATTTATTTACTTTTTGCTTATGAATTTTCAAAGAAAACTGAATATGTGAAAGTGACAACTATGTCAATACACAAAAAATTTGCCTGTCTGTGTGTCTGTCTCTCTCGTGTGTGTATGTGTGCGCGCATGTGTGCTATTGAAATATACTCTAAAACAAATACTCAATAGCTTACATTTGTCTATCATTGCAGGTTATATATTAAGATAATTATTAATTATGAATATGTTTACTACAGTTAGAGTTACATAAATACTCCTAGGATATATAAAATTGTTTACTTTGTGATTGTTTATTCCTACTTTAACATCCTAAGTAGAATCAGTATTATTGTTGTGTACGGTTTTAATTTGAACGATTTATTTATTTAAATTATTCCCTGGAATTACAAAGTACTTTTGATTTTCTTACAAAATCACTATTTTGGATTATTTTGAATTCATTAAAAGACATTTTGGATTATACCACTGTAATATATCAAGAAAGTTGGCACATTAACACATTCGAAGCTATTTCCACATCAGCAAATTAAAAGTTGGAATTCGTTAAGATCACCACTGGAATTTATTCGGAATTTTATACATTTGGACTTGGGATAAAAATTTTTGGGGCTATTTTAGAGTTTATTCACAATGCTGTAATTTCTTTTTAAATTTTCACTTTGCATTTCAGGGAAAAATTATTTGTTGAATGTTACAAAATTTGTTGATTTTCGTTATATATATATATATATATATATATATATATATATATATATATATATATATATATATATATATATATATATATATATATATATATATATATATATGCAAGGGAGATAAGCAAAGAGCTAATAAAGATGGTTGACCACGTGTACAATTTTGTATACAAAAACAGTCCAGCGCATGAAAAGGGCAACGTGTAATCAAGGCAAAATGTCTGGGAATATAGGCTATTCACGCTCGGTAAGTCCTGTAAAACGATATCTTTACTTAATGAAATCTGAGAGCATGTCATTCTATGATATATGATTAATACGTTTTGTTTTGCTATGTTTGGGTTATATTGTGCTGTGTTCTGCTTTTTTTTTGTAGTATCGAATTAGTGCAAACGCTTTTGGGTCAGACTGTGTAGCATTAATTCACACAGTATCGAGTTAGTCTGAGCGCTGGTGAAATACTCGATTAAGAATCAATAACATCTGGATACCTGAATGTGTGTGTGTGTGTGTGTGTGTGTGTGTGTGTGTGTTTGTGTGTGGATGGATCGATAGATGGAGAGAGAGAGAGAGAGAGAGAGAGAGAGAGAGAGAGAGAGAGAGAGAGAGAGAGAGAGAGAGAGAGAGAGAGAGAGAGAGAGAGAGGTTTTTAGCCATATAACTGTAACACATACCAGGTACAAGAAACGTTAATCAACTACACCTGACGATCATGGAACTTGCCAACAAACTCCCCATGTTTTGTTGCTGGGCCATAAGACAATAGTATAATGAAGGTAAAGGGAAAACCCATATTTTCACAGAAATTTGTAAATTTAAAGTTTTTATTTGTGCAAAAAGAAAATATAAATCAGATTGAAATTCTAACAATTGCTATATTCCACCAGAGTAGTATTTACAGAACAATAAAAACCGAAACTAATTTATATTTCATGATATCACCGTTACTATCGACAAATTAAGTTTTATAAGTTCTGTTGATGTAACAAGAAATAATAAAGAAACCGTCACCATGACTAAAGGAAAAACGTCATAGTAAACATATTATTGCCAACTGAAAAAGACGAATAAAATACTACATGCATGTAGCCAAGACGAATAGCAAGTTATATGAAATAATATTACATACAATATTTCAACTACGTCCACAGAAGAATCACAGTTGTATATAATCCATACACTTACAATGAAAACAGTTCAGATAAAGAGGCACGTGTAACAGCTGTCTGATATAAATGATTAATGCCCCTCACAGATCAAAATACAAGTTTCGTTTATATAAAGTCATATCACCGTATTTTTGTTGCTGATTTTTTTTTGCTCATGAAAAGCGTTGTATGTAACCTCCAGCTATAGTACCTAATTGATGTCAGATAAAGAAGAATAATGCGATTTTTAGGTACCATTTATATAGAGTCCTATAAAAATATAAAATACAAAATTAAAGACGATCTTCAATGCTTTCAAAATGAATAAGGATAAACGGATAGCTGAGTAAATGTCTCGTGGTAGTAATAGTAGGGCATTTATCCCTCCCCCTCATCACCAACTTCGCCCACCTGTTAGTCAAACATAGCAGTGAACAAACTCTCCCCTGCTCAAGCTAATTTTGTTTAGGTGTGACCATGTGGATAATTACTTAATTAATATCCGTCACACAAATTAGCTTATAGTAGTTCCGTCAGGTGCAGTATTGTCAGTGAGCAATTATATTTTAAATCTTACAGTTACTTTATCTACCCCCACCCTACCCCGTATTTACGGTATACATGTAGTCCTGCCGGCAATAAATGTCTTACTGGTACCGCTTACCTGATCGTACCAGCAATATGTCTTCTTGGTACGGCTTACCTGACGTAAGCAATATGTCTTACTGGTACGGCTTATATTATCGTACCGGCTCACATGAACAACTGGCCAATGCCACAGAGTACTAGTTCAAAAGGTCAGGATCCTGAACAGTTCGCATACAGTTTTGTGGTAACTTTCATTACATTAAAAAGGCCGTCATACGCGACTGATTTTACTTGTATGCATCCACGAATCCGCATGGGGTCGTATCCTTGGATCCACATAGGTTCAAATCCATGGATGTACATGGGCTTGTATCCTTGAATCCTAATGCGAAATCTATCCTTGATAAATGCTTTGTATCGTTGCTGTAAATTTGGCTATCGTATATGTTCTATATAATGTGTATCCTCGTTAATAGATGATATTATTATTATTATTATTATTATTATTATTATTATTATTATTATTATTATTATTATTATTATTATTATTATCATTATTATTATTATTATTATTATTATTATTATCATTATTATTATTATTACTACTACTACTACTACTACTACTACTACTACTACTACTACTACTACTACTACTACTACTACTACTACTACAGGTTTTTAATATACAGTACAATTATTATTTATACGTAAATTGAAAGTAGCGATACGAGCTCCTGTGCATGGGTCAATATCGGGGGACGGTGTAGTGAATACAAATGAACCAGGATGTGATGTGATTATGATTTTTAACGTAGCTTTAAAAAAAAAATTTCCAGTCACATCGCTACAATGTCTGCAGTGTGGCAGCTTATAGTGAGGTCTAGCACTGGGGCATCATGCCGTAGACATGTAATATGATGTCCCACCCAGTCACATTATCTTGATAGTCCTAACATTAACCTCTTAATGCTGAGCGTTAAGCGAGGCAGCTATTAGTACCATTTTTGTAAGTCTTTGGTATGACTCTACCGTGGATCGAACCTACAACCTTCCGCATCTGAGGCGGACACTCTAACCACTAGGCCACCGAAGCGGTTAAAGTGGGGGTGGAAGATAAGCAATAAACTCTGGGATTGGATACGAGTCGTAAGACAGAAAGCGCTGTACTTTTACATGGTTCATAGTGTGCTAAGAGTGCCATAGTTGTACTTTCATATGGTTCCTGGTGCCCTTAGAGTGCTAAAGTTGTACTTTTATCTGGTTCCTAGTGTCCTAAGAGTGCTATAGTTGTACGTTTATGTGGTTCCTGGTGTCCTTAGAGTGCCAAAGTTGTACTTTTATCTGGTTCCTAGTGTCCTAAGAGTGCCATAGTTGTACTTTTATGTGGTTCCTGGAGGTAATGCAGACTAATACTATTAAAGGATTAATGTACTTCGCGACACCAGAACGAGGTCTAGATAAGAGTACAAGCTTGTTATGGTTTCGTAAAACATGTGCTATGCTTAGACGGAGCACCTTTTGTTTGGGCAGCAGTAGAAAGTTATTAACAATGGTCAATTGTACGTAAGCAGGATGTGGGTAAAGTGTGCTCCTGTCAGATTAGTGTATAGTTTCTGCCGTGTTAATTTGAACTCATATGATTAGAAACAATAATGTAATGATGTCATTTGGGCTATTTTTATAGCTGTTTCACACTATTACTTCTGTAGTTTTAAAATGTTTCTTTATGTATTGAATTTGTTGTGTCTATGAGCGTCTAATTATTTATTAGCTGAAAGAAGAATGTACATTCTCTCTCTCTCTCTCTCTCTCTCTCTCTCTCTCTCTCTCTCTCTCTCTCTCTCTCTCTCTCTCTCTCTTATTGATCTATTGATCTATCGATTTTCACCACAAGAAGTAACCTTGACTTCCTATATACGAAAACACTATTCCACCTTAAATGTAATTTGCGTTTTCTTATAAGCTAAAAGAACTGACGTGTTGTACCCATTGCCAAGAAACATAAAGACACACACACATATATATACACGTACTCGCGCGCGCACATACACACGCACACACACTGTAACATTACATCATCTGTAGATCAATAAAGAATAAAGAATACAAAATAAACATTTCATTGTCGAACAACGTAACAACGTGCATACTGTGCCATATCGTCATTGAAACTGCATGTGATACTCATCCTGGGCTATCCGTAGTATCACGTCTTGGGCTATCCGTAGTATCACGTCTTGGGCTATCCGTAGTATCACGTCTTGGGCTATCCGTAGTATCACGTCTTGGGCTATCCGTAGTATCACGTATCGGGCTATCCGTAGTATCACGTCTTGGGCTACCCGTAGTATCACGTCTTGGGCTATCCGTAGTATCACGTCTTGGGCTATCCGTAGTATCACGTCTTGGGCTATCCGTAGTATCACGTCTTGGGCTATCCGTAGTATCACGTCTTGGGCTATCCGTAGTATCACGTCTTGGGCTATCCGTAGTATCACGTCTTGGGCTACCTCTGGTATCACATGAGGGGCTGTGGTATGGTCTCTTGAGGTTTGTACTGTGTTGCAAAATTAATATTAATGTTTCATACTGGACAGTTAGACAATATTCTTATATGCAGTTTGCATAATTGCCATTCAGATTCAATATGTTGCTTTTCATATACAACATATACTGAATTTTTACTGCGATAATCTTTACCCAATCGCTCAAAAATGATTTATGTGAATTTTATTTTAATCCATATTTAGTTCTTTGCATCCAGTTTATCTTACGCTATTTAATTAAAATGCTTGGGGTTTTTCTTTTTTAAAAAAAACAACAAACCAACATATTTTTTATTGTATGTATTTTGTTCGTTTGGTATAATGAATCATTCATATGCAAGTTTTTTTCTCAATGGAGTAGTATGGCAATGGGGTTTTGGACAAGGCCTATCGATTGGCTTAAACGCATCATATACACCCTGACTTTATCTCTCTTTAGTATATTGTGATGAGCGCATGTATTCTCATGGAAGTTACCAATTCGCAGAATTTTAGCCGCGAACACTCTTGGTCTGGGTGTTGCTGAAATTGCAACTACCGCAACCAATATAGGTACAACAATTGGGTTTTCTGTCAGGATTACATCCAAGACAAGCAGTGTATAGCGGTGAAACTGGTAAAATACTTGCGTGTTTATTCAGAAATTCTCAAAGCCATCCAAAGTAGTCTCAATACAAATGACATCTGAAAAAGGTGCCTATAAAACGATTATCACGGAGTTCTAGGCCGTATTTGCAAAAAAAATGGAAAACTTCCAGGGATTCCATGAGAAGATTTGAAACGGGAGCGCAAGCGCGGATGAAGAACAACATCAAGCTGTAAAAATCAACTAAACAAATATTAAATGCGCTTCATTTTTAACATTTATTATCAATGTCTGTATTCTTTCGAACACTCAGATCGGCAAGGAGGCTGAAACAGATTTTTTGCATATCCTGTATTAAGATTTTCTCTAAATAAAGAATTTCTCGAGCCCAATACTTCAGTTTTAAGCTCATAGGGTGATTGTCTTAGCTTTTATAACTTAATGTCAAGAGATCCTCATATGACAGTATAATACCCTAGCAACGAACCGTAATGGAAGAGGTTGGTGTGTTTTGAACGCCACCAATTTACCACAACCACATTGTTTTTGAGTCCAATGGTAGTAGCTAAGTGGCGAAGTTACTTTCAAAGAGACAGAGAGTTCCAACTAATCGTGCATGTAATTTCATTATTCATCGCGATTATGACAGCGAAACCACATTACTCGAGTCAGCGAACGCGCTTCACGAATCTAAAACGTTTCCTGCGTGTACAGGTGCCCGAAAACTCCATTTGTACGTGTACGACACTAGTTCAACGATGAGCTAGTTTTAATGCACACGGGTGTTTCATTGATGAACCTGTATGTAGAGACGTCTCATTCATTCTAGCGGGGAACATACAAAGATGCATTTAAACACGTCTGTAACATTTGTTGAATCTTTAGACTTCAGCGAATTGGATTCCTTGTATCTGCTGACGTCATAATCGACAGCCAATGCCCATTTAAAAGTACATGCATCTACCCGATCATGCGAAGAAATACCCTACAAATGATCAAACCAGCGAACTTATTTGATTGTTCTCACGTCAAACCATCCTTGGAAAATCTTCCTTTGACGAAGGGAAATCTGCAACACGTTTTGGCTAGTAACGCTATGGCAATGCTATTACTAGAGTTTGCTGTACTTGCGAACTTACTAGCGACGATTTCACCATTCCGTTAACTTCAAGGAGTGTAGTTTCGCATCCATGGTTTTATAACGAGGCTTTGCCTCCAAGTGCAATCTTAGCCCTGACACCGCCTTTGATGATCCAACTAGCGATTCGTACTCTGAGTGAAGTGGGCGAGGAAGCAGATCCTTACACAATAACATTCAGGACATACTTGAAATCCACGTCGGCGCTTTGTTGTGCGTGGATATCACTTGAAGTTTTATGCGTAAAATCATCTCGGTGACATGTGCATCGACGCATTTTATAGGTTCTTTTCTGAGCTCCGGAAAGGGATTGAAATCCAGTTGTATATTAACCCATGTTCCAGGACAACAATAATTGTATCTAAATCCAGTAGGAATCCAGATATATGTATGCCATGATAATACTCCACGGCACACCGGAGAGTTTCGTCTGGAGGAAAGTTTATTTTGTTTCTTAGCCCCCTCCCCATAAATCTAAAAGGTATACATCTTTGTGCCATTCAAGATACGAATTTCTGGGATTCCGACTCGACTCTCTTGTAGGAACCCTCGTCAGATTTGCGTTACGTGTTGGTACATTGCATCGAAAATAGTATGAAGCCATGACGGTTAGTATGAAACAATTAGTATGATATTGCGAAAGACCGCGAAAGATCTGAAACATTGCTCTTTTCCTGTCTCTGACTGATTTACGCGAACTAAGCCTCAACCGAACAAGCATAATGATGGAACCAGTTCAGTTTTTCCAAATTCAGTTCACTCGACTTAGCTTGATTAAGTAAAGCTCGATTATTGTGACTATGAGCTTTTTGATCAAATCAATAGTTCGGTGATATTTGACCAAGTATGTGTGTCTGAATTTTCTTGCGATTACAGTCATCATGATCACTTCAAAGAAATTTTGCTTTGACTTCACAAACATTCATGCGGCACACGAATATCACAAGTTGTGGTCGTTCATGCACCGGCATCAAAATGTTGTCACGAGTCTGCAAAAATTTCCAGAAAGAATTTACTATGTTTTACCCAGTTTATAACTTTTCTCTCGTGTATCAAGACTTGATTAGGCATTCCCATGCATTTTCATGTACGAGTAACTGATATTTCCGCTGATGGGTATATATGGATTACTGTGATCCTCTCTGATAAGATTCTTTCGTTGGAGAACACAGGTGGTCCTTTGAACAATTATTGATGAGCTTCCCCTTTTAACCGGTTGATTTTGGGAAGAGTGTTATGCCAAAGCCTTGTACCATAGCAGGTGACTCAGTCAAGTTTCGTCGCGTGGAACAAAATTTCCTTTGAATTTTAGAGATGAAATTAAAAAAATCATATAACTGTCTCTAGCCCTTTCTACTTTAACCAAGTTGACTTTGGTACAATTCATTTAATCAATAGTTCTAAGAGTTTTCAAAATTCGACACATCACAGTGGTTTCGTACCTGTACGCCTCGGTGGAGCTGTATGCATTCACGATCCCAGACCGGATTCATTTTCATAAGCAACTAACGTGCTATACCTTGGCACCTTTGAACGAACATGAGGTAAAGCCTCAGATCAGAACATTCGTACGGATTGAATTACATGTCGTCTTTACGAATACACGCTTGTCACCAATCTCCATTTTGGGTCCTTTGTGCTCCCGTACGCATACGTGGTGATTCCGTAAGCGAAATCAATTGTTTGGTGTCTGGAGATGACAAATTCACCTTGCTGAAAAAGTACACGCTCATGTGATGTTGATAAGACTGAATAAATTTGCCACGTGTATGAAATATCGCTGGTCTTGCTAATAATCTCCATACATGTCTAGCTGAA